CTTCTGGCCAAGGCCTGCTCTCCCTCCCTTTGGCTCCCCATGGGGCTGGGAGGAGGGATTCCCGCCCTGTGGTGAGAAAGGACCAGGATTCTCTGTACACAGCGGCCCTCCCCCAGCCCGCCCCCAGCCAGGCCCTGAGGCAGCCTGTCTTGGGTGACCCCCTGAGGCTTAGGTGAGCAGTACAGCTGTCAGAAAAAGTATCCAAAACTTAGAAATACAGCAAAAGGGTGGGCAGCACACTCTTCCAATGCCACAGAAGAATGAAGGGCACCCAAGGCATCTCTAGGGAATTACGTTTGGTTCAACTCACTACTCACTATTAATTTAGAGTCACAGGTTTAGTAAAGTTAATATTAATTCATTGACTTTGACAACTAGAAATACAAATAATTACTATCCAGTGAAAAAGGAGCCTCCAAAGATTACATTTATGGCTCTACTGGACATTAATCACTTCTGAATGTAACCTGGCAATCTTATCCTAGCACTTCCTATAAACACCTAGCTTCTGACATGCTCTTTGATCCAGTTTTAACATCTTACTGGCGCCTTCATTCATTAATGAGTAGAATAAAATCTCTGACATATGTTCATTTCATATTGGTATGAGAGTGATTTTTTTAAACAGTTTATTTTTTTAATTGTTTTTTGTTTGTTTGCTTGCTTTGTTTGGGGGGTGGTAATTTGGTTTATTTATTGTTAATGGAGGTACTGGGGATTGAACCCAGGACCTCGTGCATCCTAGGCATGCCCTCTACCACTGAGCTATACCTTCCCCTGGGAGTGATATCTTCTAACCCTTTGAAAATTATACTGTATCAGCAGCATCCTGGGACTTAGCTCCTGTGAGTCAGCTGCTTCCTTTCTGTTGACATGGGAACTCTGGAGGTGGACCATTTCCACTTAGCACAGCTCCAATCTTTAAAACAACAACAACAAAAATTTCCTTTTATTCAGCTAGATTCTGTCTCTACAGAACTTTCTTCCTGTGCTAATGCAGTGAAAAGAGTGAGATCTTTGGAGTCGGACAAACCTGGGCTCAAATCCCAGTTCCACCACCTATTAGCTGCTTGACCTCGGGAAAGTCACCCCCCTCCCTGCAGCCCTCCCTTTCCTTATCTCCCTCTTGTGAGAATTAAATGAGATAGTGCATGTAAAGCACTTCACACAGGGCCTAGCATATAGTAGGTCAGTTTATCTTCTCAATCATTTCCTCATTCATTTATCCAGCAAGCATTTACTGAGGCACTGGTGGCAAATGCTGGAGCTGCAAATATGCATAACAAATAGCTCCCGTTCTGAGGATGCATGCAAATTAGTAGGAGAGAAAGAAATGTTTAAAAAGAAATTCTAATACAGCATGATAAGTACAACAAAAGAATCATGTACAATGCACAGAGGAGAAAGTGATTAGCTCTGTGGCAGAAGCAGAGGTGGCTGCCAAAGTAGGCTTCCCAGAGCTGGTGACGTCTACTGAGTGTTTTGAACATAAAGGAGAGTTTTCCTAGGGGGCTGGGGGTGGGAAGAGATAGACTGGGATTTCAAAATTGTAGAACAGATTAACAAGATTATACCGCATAGCACCGGGAAATATACACAAGATCTTATGGTAGCTCACAGAGAAAAAAATGTGACAATGAATATACATATGTTCATGTATGACTGAAAAATTGTGCTCTACACTGGAAATTTGACACAACATTGTAAAATGATTATAAATCAATAAAAAAATTTGTAAAAAAAAGAGTTTTCCTGGCATTCAAGTAAGGCAAAAATGTTACAAAACAGCATGGTGGGCCTTACTGGAGTATAAAGAGCAAAAGGGCAGGGAGATGAACTTGGAGAGGTGGTAATGGGAACTGGGATCGGGAAGCAAAGGAGGTTTGACTTCTTCCTTAAAAAATTATGGAGAAATTGATACAACGTTGTAAACTAACTATACCTCAATTAAAAAACAACAGATGGAGAACTTTTGAAAGATTTTAGGCAGGGGAGTAATATTATCATATGCGTGCCTTAGACAGATCATGGTGACAGCAATATGAGAAATGAAACAAAACTAAATCTGGAAGACATCTTTGACAGTCCAGTCCAAACAATGGTGAAACAGAGGTGAAACCTGGAAACAGAAAATGGGGTTGGGGGGAATGTTGAGAAAATAAAATCAGCCAGATGTGACAAACTACATGACAGTCAAGGTGACCACCACACCAAAATTTCCTTTGGAAGGGAAACTGACCCACCCACAGGTCCCTGCTGAGACCTTGAACAAGAACTGGTGGCAAAATTGGACCAGTTGGACCAGAGTGGGCACCTGGACCAAAGCAGTCCACCCGCAGCCTGGCCACTGAACAAAGAAGTAGGTGGGTGTGAAAAGCTCTGTCCAGTAGGATTGGTGGTAATTCACTAGAAGAGTTAGACACTTTCCCTCCAGAATGTGAATAGGAAAATGCAAAGATAATTAATTGGTTGGGGACAGGGAGAGAAAGGAGAATGACGTGCAAAGGGAAGCAGAGATGCTAGGGAAAAGAGTTCAATGCCAGAGGCAACAACAGCCATGACACCACTAGAGAGACAGGTGCTCTATAGCAAGGCTGTCGTTAAAGCCTTAGCGCCATCAGCATCTGGGGCATAAACTCGTCTAAGTGCATCCAAGTTCCTTACAGCCAACAACATTCTATTAGCTTGCTTTTTAACTGGTCAGATGTCAGGGAAAGCAACATATTTGCATAAATAATTGAACACAGGTCTTGCCTCCTCCAAGCTTCCTTTCTTCAAGCTTAATACCCCCATTCCTTCACTCTTCCTCATTGACCGTGATTCTCACTGACCTCATTGACCACTCTGATCTTCTCCATTGTACAAACTCTCACCTGAGCTTGCTTCCTGACCCCAGAATCCAAAGCCAGGGTACTTTGTTTATTCCCAATCCCTGATGCTACTTGCCTGTTAGGAGCTCAACTTCTTTCCTATTCTTCCACTCAAATCCTAAGCTGCTCTCTCTAACTATTAGCAGGTTGAAAGGAAAGAAAAGTGGCACAATAAGACAGAAACTGCTAGGGAGCAATACCTGGTCACGGAGAAGGAAAGAACAAAAAGAACCTTCTTGCTTGCTGGAAAGAACAACACTACATCCAATCCTCAGCTCAGGAATAATGTTTCTCCTGGCCCCTGGCTCTGAAGGTTTGGAAGTGGCATTTGGGAAAAGATGAAGGAATTGCCAGAGCCCAGATATCCACACAATCCACTTATGGTCAGATCCCCAAGGTTGACCAATGTGATCATTTAAGTTCCATTAGGACTGAGCTTTCTCTTATTCATCACCAAATCCTCAGTGCCTAGAGTAATGTCTGGCAGGGACTAAGAGCTCAGTAAATGTTTATTGAGTGAACAAATGTATGGATTCACAGCAAATCCAAGAGAAGTCTCTTTTGATATGCCACAGTTCTTCGTTCTCAGCCCACCACGATTAATAATTCAATGAAAACATAGAGGGATTTCTCGGGGGGGAATAGATAAAATAAGAATGGAGTTGGGAAGAATTTTGAATACACTGAGGAACTGACTCAAGATTCAAAATACCTGAAGGCAGGGCAATAATCAGTACTATGATAAGTGATTTTAACAGAACTACCATACCAGTTGAGAGACATGGCTTAGCACCAGTGCTCTTGGAAAAGACTGATGGATGGGTCATAGTTGACCATAAACTCAGTAGGAGTTTGAGGTACAAAAAAGTTGCCAAGTGAGCAACTATGCTGTGAAGTACAGAATCCAGAAGTGTGGGAGGTGATGGTCCCAGAAACAAGGTGTGCTGCTCAGACCACCTCTAGAGTAATTGGCTTGGTGCATGAAATATGCTCAAAGAAAGGAAATCAAGGAAAGGATGGAGGTCATATCACATGAGAGACAATTGAAGGAACCGGGCATGGTCAGCCCAGGGACATCTCAGAGGTTATATTAGTGTCCTGGGGCTGCCATAATAGTACCCCACGAACTGGTGGTTTAAAACAACAGAATTGTATTTTGTCACAGTTTTGGAGGCCAGAGTTCAAAATCAAAGTGTTCACAAGGCCACGCTCCCTCTGAAGTCTCTCAGGAAGGATCCTTCCTTGCCTCTTTGAGCATTGGGTATAGTCCCAGGCATTCCTTGGCTTGGGGCATCATTCTAATCTCTGCCTCTATCTTCACTTGGTGATCTCCCTTTGTGTGTCTGTGTGTCTTAGAAGGACGCCAGTGATATTTGATTCAGGGTCCACCCTCCTCCATTATTTTCCAGTTCCTCCAGAACTCATTTTAGCTAGTGACATCCACAACCACCCTATTTCCAAATAAGATCACATTCGGAGGTACTGGGGGTTAGGACTTCAAAATCTTATCTTTGGATGACACAAGTCAACCCATAATAGAAGGCAAGAGAACGGTCTTCATAATTCAAATGTAACTCGCTTGTGGACGACTTGCTCTATACAGCCCAAAGGGCAGAACTAAGAACAGGGGGTGGAAGTTACAGGGATGTAAACTGTAGCCACTTACAAAGAACTTTCTGAGTGTTGAAGCTGCAGCCCTTGTGACTCCCAACCCTGAAGCTGCTGAGGAAGAGGCAAGATGACCCGCTTGGGGTAGCACCGGGGGGGGGGGGATTCTTTCCTCCGGAGGGGACTGGGCTGCAAAGCCTCTTGTCACTCCCAGTCAACTCGATTCTGCGTGTCACTGCCCTCTGGTACCCTGGCATGAGGGAACCACTTTTAATCAAGCAGAGATTTAAGTGGCTGCTTCCAAGAGACAATACAAGCAGATGAGCCCCCCAATAATGCAGGCTGCTCATGAGAAACGGAGTGTGAATTGCAGACCCAAGAAATGAGTATAAATTCAGCAGCTATTTTAATTTTTATTTGGAAAAAAAAAGCCCAGCCCAGACAGAAAGGAGAAGAGTGTACTTTGCACAGTACTACAGAAAGCATCTGCTAGCACGGCCAAGAGAAATGTGTAGCCTTGGTGCCTCTGCCATCCTTGCAATTGTGACAGGAAAGATTTCTACAGGGACTGCTACTGCTGGCTGCCTCTGCAGATGACGAAGGTCATGGTTTATGGGCACAAGACACTCAGCTCCAGAAGCAGCTTCATTGGTATGCAGGCTCAGAAACCCAGCAGCCAGCCCAACTCCTTCCCATTTTTCTGGACAGTTTTGCACTCAAATGGAGTAGCTGGAAGATTGAAAGGTGTTAGGGGAAAAGAAGTGACATTTACTAGGCACCTACTATGTGCCAGGCATTGGTCTCATTGAATTACAAGGTCTTGGACTCCATGATTGATGGGATCATTACACGTATGTGTGTATTTATGAACATGTGTGAGCACTTGCACAAGTTAGCACGTTTGTGATCTAGATGGAGAAATGGAGAAAGAGGGGAAGAGTTCAAAGTACTTAGAAGATGGGAAGATTATGGATCAAAAGTCACATAATAAGGGTAGAGATCACCACTGGCCTTAAGAGGTGATGAATTCAGTAGATTCTTTGGTGGCTAGGTAGGGAAGTTCCTGCCTGCAACAGGAGTATCCAACCTGGACAGGACAGTGGATGTCGTGACTATGGGGACAGTTGAAAGAACACAGTGGGACTCAGTGATTCCATGAGCCAGTTCTAAAAGCAGGCTAGAAATAGGCTTCAACCTCTCCCAGGAGCGTCCATCTGGCAGCACTCATGGCTGCAGTTCATCTCTGTTGAAGGTCCTGCCATTCACTTACCCACCACCCAGCTCAAACTGAGCGCACCTACCAGCCTCCAGAACCAGTGTCTACTCTGACTTCACTAATTCAGGCACATGTCAGAAATACTGCAGGTTCTGTTGCAGACCACCGCAATAAAGCCAGTCACATGAATTTGTTGGTTTCCCAGTGCAAATGAAAGCTATATTTACCTTACTCTGTAGTCTATTAAGTGTACAACAGCATTATGTGTAAAAAATGTATATACCTTAATTAAAAAATACTTCATTGCTAAGAAATGCTAACTAAATCAAAGCCTTCTATGATCTAGCCCCAACCTACCTCATAAACCAACCACCCACCCTCCCATTTTTCATTCAGATGAGCCTCTCCCTCCTATCGAATGGCTTATTTTAAGCCAGAAAAAGGCCCAGGCCTTTTCTTCCATCTGGACTTCCATTTTCTCTATGTATGCATTCACCCCCTCCCACTCCCTGAGCATCCATTCATTCAACAGACATTAATGAGTACCTACTATGTGCTAATGACCTTCTAGCTACTGGGGATCCACTGGTGATCAGGACAAAGTCCCTCTGTTCTGGGGGCTTTTGTTCTACTGAGGAAGCTGTAAATTAAAGCAGGATAAAGGGATAAAGATGGCACAGTGTGTGTCTGTTTTAGACAGGGTGGTCAGGAAAGCCTTCTCTGGAGAGATGTTGGATCTGAGAGACAAATGAGAGTTAATCCTAAAATCGGGGTAAGAGCTTCAAAGCCTTCTCCTTCAGAGATCACATGATCTCTTTAGAAACCACCCCCACCCCTGAACTCCAGGACTCACTGCCAGAGGTATTCGTGCATCCCTGAGCGCACCCTGCCTTGAGCTGCCTTTTACCCTTCTGTGCCTAACCAGAGGGTAAGTTCTTCAAGGGTAGGATCTGGACACCACATCCCAAAAGTCAGAGGTTAATGGGGCATTACTGCATACAAGGATAGCCCAGCTAAGGTAAAATAAAAGAGAAATCATTTCACCTTGATTCTCAAATGTAAGAGTGTGAGAAAAATTTCTTCCTTGTGATGTGGGGGAAGACTGTTTTGCAGGTGTTACTCAGGTTTTCCTAGCTGGAGGCTTTCGCCACTCTGTCTGACTTGAATCCATAAGCAGGCGATAAACTCCTAATGACTGGGGCAGAAAATGCCACCAACAGCTCCAAGATGGAAGGACATCTGCTGTCAAACTACTCTGAAATCACTGAGCTGAAGTCACAGCGAAAATGCTGTCCTGAGGATGCCTCTGACTTTGGAATAATGATTCCAGGATAAATCAGTAAGAAACATTAACATGATAAGTAGCATCTGAGGTTCAGCGAAAAGGAGACTGAAATGCATCTAGAGTTTATTGAATCAAATCTTGCTTTGTAAATACTTTTAAAGTATATAATGTTGATATTTTTAAATGCAAAATGTTTTTACTTTAATGTATTTAGCTGCCTTAGAAAAGAGTTATATTTTTGCCAATCAACTAACACATATTGAGTGCATCCAGTCACTGAGGATACACTGTAAGGCAGACACAGTAGTGAATAAACAGATACAGTCCCAGTCCCCAAGGAACTTACAGTCCAGCAGAGAAGACAGATGCTAAATCAAATAAACAAATATCAATAATTAGGAAATTACAAGCAAGCAAAATACCACAGTAGAGAAGCACAGACTCTACTGAAATGTATGGAGAAGGGGGTGCGGGGTGGGTGGTCAGAGCAAATTCCCCTGGGAAGGGACATATCATCTAAGAAGCTGGCTGGGAGAAGTGAAGGAAGGTAGCCCAGAAGTATGTTCCAGGCAGAGGACATCACATGTACCCAAGATCTCCAGGGGAAAGGAACGTGGCACTTGGGAAGAATAGCGAGTTCAGTGGGGCTGGAGGGAAAGAGGCCCGGGCTGGGGCTGGGAGGGCAGGAAGAGCAACAACCAGAGAAGCTTTGTTGTAGGATTCTGGCTTTATCCCACGACGTGTAGATACTGGGGAAGCGTATACCCTCTGTAAACACAGTCATATAAGTCCCTCTTCAAGAAGAATTTGAGATGAGACATGAATCACCTTTTAAGAATAGAATCAGCTTTAATTAAAGGGAAACTGAAGAAAATCACTTGGACCTAAAAATACTTTTGTTTATCCAGGCATTGTGCTGCAAATTGCTTTTCTTGGCCAATAAAAGAAGCTGGAGGATAAAGATTATTTACAACTCAGGTAGTTAAAGAATCTATTTGCTTACAAATCAGACTGATATAGATCCCCAGCAAAAACTAAACTAGGTTATGCTCCACTTAAGTGACAAATTTCCTAGCTGCCATTCTATAGAAAGAGATAAGAGCTATCTAGCTGTCAAATTGTCTTGACATGCCTGTTTTTGCCCATATGAAATGCAAACCTGTAATGTTTGTGTGTGAACTTCAAGAAATGTGAAACAGGTTCAGATAATCACGGGAAGTCATAACTGGAAGTTGTAATAGCTGGAAATTTGTAATTATTGTTAGTAACTTCAGATATAATTAAATGTAAAATAGATTAAATTTTTCTTCTTTTTCTTTGCCTAAACCCCACTGTTGAACAAAAATATAAAACCTAGTTTATAATTTTGGAAGTTTGAAACAGTAGCTATCAGTCTTTCTTTTGAAACTGTTACAATATAAATGGGAACTTTGCTTACTTCACTCCATCCAGGCTGTCCCTTCACTCTTCCCCAAGCTAGACTGTGCCAGCTTGCACACCTTTGCTTGCTGTAACATTGCCTCTGCCTGGAATTCCCTTCTCACTTCCAGATCCAGAGCCTGGTATTTCTCACCAAATGATTGAGAAGACACTGCTATTTATTGGTAAGGAATCCATATGGCAAAGTCATGCCTTTGGAGCGATGAATAAACTGCCACCATTTGCTACTTTCCTTCTTTACGTAGGGAACACCATCCAAGGAAGGAGCAGACTGATCCCGAACGTATTATCAAACAACATGCTCTCTAAGTCCAAGTGGCGCTCACTGACCCACTGTTGATAAAGCATGGCTTTGTGCTGCTCTCTAGCACCTGAGGTGAGAGGATCGATGAACTACCCTCATCCCCTCCTCCAGCCCCTCAAAGGTCACAGGCACACAGCGCTCATAACCCAGGTTATAGACACGTTTGTGGCCAGAGTGAGGCAATCTGGCTCACTTATGAACTGAACCAGTCCACCTTGGCCTCACCGAATGCCAAGCCAAATGGCAACAAATTGAGGCATGGGTAATCTTGGATATATGTCCTTTGGTCAATTTGATAGTATTATTAAGACAAATGCCCAGATCATTTAAGGTAACAATACCCTGGCACCTCTTCAAAGTTTCTCTCTGAAAAATGGAAAGGTAGCAGGACCAATCTTGACTTACCAGAGGCAGAAGTCAAGTGGAGAACAGTACCCCTCATGCTTCAGGGAAGAGGACGAGGGCAAAGCGAGTGACCTCTGGGTTACTTCTGAGTACACAGATCTTTCAGGCTTTGTACTCAAAGCTGTGTCCATAAACCGCCAATCAAAATGGCACCTTGGACATCTTCTGGTGTTTGACCTGGATGAACAATCACATCAGATCATTCAAGACAAGAGCTCCCAAATTGAATGCTCCACGAGTCTTCGTGGGTCCTAGTATTCAGAACGTGTCCCATAGAGACAGACAGCCCCCAAGATTCCAACAGTTAGATGTCACAGCCTCTGTCACTCCAAACCACCACAGCTGTTCCTCTCCAGGCTGTCCTAATTAGCAGCATAGTGCTCATTAACAGCTGTTGCCTGCTTAAATGTTCTCCCCGACGTGGAGCAGGGCCTATAAAATCTCCCCGACATACATCCTCCTGCAAAAGTGGTGCCTGTCTGGCAACAGATGTTTGCTGACAATGGGCCTGATGATTTGCTCTGCCAGGATCTAATATTCTGATCCCCACCCTACCCCCACCACCCTCACTCCCCACCCCTAGTTGAGTCAGGTGGGGCAAAGCATCCCAGAGGCAACACCATCACCACCACCACGCTCCCGATGCCTAGCTGGGTACCTGGCACCACAGTAGACAGATGATTAATGTTAGCCATCAGCAGGGCTGACATTCAGCAAATATGCACCAAGACAGCATAAAAGTTCTCAAAATGTGGGAAAACTCCCATACTGGATGTTAAATAGCTGCTTCCCCAAGCCCGTGTACACCCAATGTCCACCATCACCATCACATGGCAGTGTGATGCCTTTCCTCAGGACCCTGGGAACCGCCTCACAGTTCCGCATCCATTGTGATGGGCCAGTGCCGTAGATACTGCTCATTAAATTCAATATTATACCTGGCTATCATCCTCGTTGTAATCGTCATTATTCATAGGCTCACATCCTCACAAACATTCATACCCAGGAATGACGCACTGCCTCCCACAGGTTCTCCCTGACCTCTCTGATTTCTCATTCCCCACTATAGGTTCCCAGCCTCTGCCCATCCCCTCAATAATGGTATTTTCCAGCTCCACGCGACCCCTGTGTCCTCTCATCCACAGCCGTGGGGGGTCTGTCAATGCCCCTGTGGGGGATTTGTCCGTTTAGCTAGGCTGACCTCTATTCCCCACCATCCCTTTCCCTGCACAGCTCTGGGTTGGCGTGGCCATTAGAGACACTGCACATGGGACTTGGAAGGTAGAAGTGAAGCAGAGACAGTTCTTGTTTAACTCTCAGAAAGACACTGCTGGGCTGATGCTGCTTAGCCACGGGTCCTCCTCCCCCGAGTGAGGCAACAGCTCCTCAGCTCCCACTGGACATCTCCCTCCAGCACCTCTCTCTGCTGGGCTAGGTGCATATTAGCTCTGTGATGAAGGAAACCAGCTTCTCCTGCATAGAAAACCAAAATGTGATGACAGATCAACTCAGGTTCCAGGCTAGTCTTACGGTTTCCAGCTCACCTCTGCAGACTCCCTTTAGCCTTGTGTTCCTGTCTGTCTTCCTTTCCTGACATCCTTTCCTTCCCTGCAGACACACACGTACCAGCCCTATGTAAACTGTTGACCAGCTCTCACATTGCACAATGTCAAACCCCTGTAATAAATCTATATCTATGCATATACCTATTGATTAAACAGAGAGAGAGTAAGAGAGAGAGAGAGATCTCCTAATGGTTCTGCTTCTCTTAACTGAACTCCAACTGATAGAAAACATACACCAGTCACCTAAGCCATAAATCGAATATCATCCCAACTCCTCTCTCTCCATCACTCCCAACCTCTGAGCATCCACAGAGCAAGCCATTCCACCTCTCAACCTGTTTTGCTCTCCAATACTTGGATCTTTTTGTTTTGTTTTGTTTTATGTTGGGATTTGACAGTGGAATTATGTTTGTTTTATAAACAGCAACTAGAAAAGCATGGTAGAAAAAAACAGAAGGGAATCCATGAGTGATGGCTACTTAAAAGCTCAACAAAGATCTATGAATAACCCAAATGCAGGTCGGCTTGCCCTTTCATCCCCTCACAACTGTGCAAACATTAAACAACCAGACACAATCCCTTGAAGGGCATGGCCATGGAAATGGTGCCCACGTTCGTAAGTCAGAGCCTTTCACTGCAGAATATTTGCTGTAACTGGTGACAAGCCATGCACTCACTGAGGCTTGGCAGCAGATTCGTTATTAAGGATGCCTGTTACAGAAATGCGTCTGTGTTTATTTATCATAAAGGCAACAGGAGTTGCTAAGCAAATTCGTGATGCAAATAGCAGAGATGTTAGCCTACTTAAGAGCAAGGAGCTTAAGTACTGGCCTTTACGTTCACATAATAAATAAGCTCATTACACCTCTTCCTACTTCTGTAATAATGTCCTGGCATGGTTCCCTAACACGTCCTCCCTCTTCCCTTTCAGCATTTGTCCTGTGGGTGCTTGATTATAATGCAACTACATTTCCTTAAAATGTTCTGTTTCTCCAGCCTATCATTTATCATCCATTAATTCACAAAACATTTATTAAGTGCCTGTTGTTTGCTAGGTGCTGGGAATTTGACAGCCTATTAGTACAAGATTTGTATTTGTGGAGTTTCCATTCCAATGGGGGAAGATCATCCATGAAGAAGTAATCAGACAAATAATACCATTTCACTTAGTGATAGATATCACAAAACATACACAGTTGGATAAGGGATAGTGTGTGTGAACGGGTGGTCAGGGAAGTCTTCTTGGAGGAGGTGACAACTCCGCAGAGATATGAACACTGGGAAGGAACCAGCCATGTGGCCACCTAAGCAAGAGCTTCCAGGAAGAGAGAACCTTCCCTGAGATCAGCATTCACACTGTGACATATACATACAGACAGACATATATACATAAATAGTGCTGAATGTTTCTTCCTTCAGTTTCTTGAACACTCTGAGCTCTTTTCTATCTTTGCCCATCCTGTTCCCTTACTGGATCACTCTTGCCCATGCTCTCACCTGGATGACTCCTCATTTTTCAGGTCTCAATCCAAACACCCCTTCTTCAGAGAAGTCATCCCTGACTATCCAGTCTAAAACAGGTCCTCCTTGTGACTTTCTCTGATAATATCTGCTTTTACCTTCACAAAGTATAACTGTATGCTGTATTAGTCAGACTTCTCCAGAGAAACAGAACCCATAGAAGATATATATATAGATCAATTTATTTATCTATAGCTATATCTCTACATTTGTAATTATATACATATAGATTTATTATGGGAATTGGCTCCAATGATCATGGGGGTTGAGAAGTCCCAAGCTCTGCTGTCTGCAACATGGAGAACCCCAAAATTTTGTGGTGTAATTCAGTTCAAGTCCAAAGCCCTAAGAACTGGGGGAGAGGGGGTGGCAATGGTGTAAGTCCCAACACAAGCCTGAAGGCCAGAGAACCAGCACTGATATCTTAGAGCAAGAGAAGCTAGGTCCCAGCTCAAGCAGTGAGAACATTTGCCCTTCCTCTGCCTTTTTGCCCTATTTGGGCCCTCAGAGGACTGGATGATGCCCAACCACATTGGTGAGGGTGGTCTTCTTTACTCAACCTGCTGATTCAAATGCTAATCTCTTCCAGAAACACCCTCACAGACACACCCAGATATAATGCTTCACCTGCTATTTAGATAACATTTAGCCCAGTCAAGTTGACCCATAAAATTACTTATGACGTATGTGGACTTACTGAACACATAGAAAGCATTCAAACAACTGTTAAATGAATGAACCAATGATTGAATTATAGAATAGTCATCCACAGAGCATCCAAACCAGTCAGGTTTAGAACTGAGAAAAGCATGGGCATGGAATACCAAGGAAAAAGTCATTGAGAAAAGTAAGAATTTAAGGAAGAAGGAAAGAAGATGGAAGAAAAATCTGCTAAGAGAAGCCAAGCCAAGGGGTAGGGTTAGGGAGGAAAGGGGCTGAGAGCAGGCCAGGTGACAGTGGGCAGCTGTAGCAGAGAAAGTCTAATAGCAAACAGCTGCACTGCAGGCTGATACTGAAAAAGACTTCAGCACTAGTTAGAGGGACAGCGTCATGCATGTCTGAGGTGCAAAGCCTGGGGGGCCCACCTGGGACACTTGCTACCTGCTATACAACCTTCCTCTGCCTGGACACTTTCAGCACTGGACAGGGTACTCACTCCCAGCATCAGTTATGCATCCATCCCCACACTGTGAATCTTCTCTACTGAAAGCATTCATCATTCCTTAACCATTCTTCATGGAACAGTGGCCAAACCATCCACTCTCTGGTCACCCACTCTCATGACAGTTTCCAATTTGTCCAGATCCTCTTTTCAGGGTGTGGCTCAAAACAGCACCCACTGCACCAGAAGTGGTTGAAGCCGGGTACACTGGGACAGCTGCAACACTGGGAATCTTGATGGCATGACGTTCTCAAAGCCTTTGAAACCAACAAACCTGCCAGCTGGCTAGAGGCCTGGGATGGCTTTGAGCCCCACCTGTTTTGACAGGAGAGGTTACAGCAGATGCTCATGTATTTCATTGTGTGGTAAATGGATGCAATGTGGGAGGAGAGGGAAATAGAACCTGGGGAAAGGCGCGAACCTTTCTGGGCGGTCCTAACAGATGGGGCCATACATAACGAGATAACACGGTTCCAATCTTGGGGACAGCTGCTGAGGCGTGACTGTTTTCTTAACAGAAAAAGAAGAAATTCCCCTTGAAATGAAAAATACAAGGCAGACAAATGTGCCCAAGGAGAGCTGGAGGATTGAGGGCCCTCTCAGAGCTCTTTGAGTAACCATCAAGTTCTACTAAAAAGGCCACTGCAGGTGAGAGCAGATTCCTTTTTCCCTGCGCAGGCTGGATGAAAAGCAGACCCTCGGTGTTCTGTGTGCACCTTCCATAGGCACAGGCACCTGCCTCTCTGGTTGATGTTGTTTCGGACAGTCTTCTCCTTGGGACTATTATTTCCCCAAATTTCTTTTGCTGGAAAAATAACTAACGCGCTTGGGTCCCCTCCCTTCCTGGGACATTCTTTAAAATGCATCCATAAAAGTATATCTTAAAAAGGAGTTGTTCGGGTTTTCAACACGTGAATAATTGATTTGTTACAACGCACAAAAGAGCATTTGTCATTTCAAAACAACCAAGACCAACCGTGCTTCTTCCTACCGAGATGAGTGTGGAGACACTTGACTTATTGCTGCCATTAAATTGAAGTGTCTGGCTGATTACTTAGTATTTCAGAATTCCTTATAAATCATCACCTTATTTTGGTGATTACAATTTTAAGGAGAGGCACTTGATTTATGGGCAACATCAGAGAGGAGGAGCAGGGAGGAAGGAGGGGCCAGGAGGTGTAACAGAGGCAAGAGGCTCAGTGAAGATACAATTGGAAACATCTGTTTGATGCATCGCCCTCTTCTCTACAAATTGCAGGCCTGGAATATGCCGACATTTGGGAGATTTTTGTTACCCAGATTTGGCAGATAAATATAACAAGGGGGAGGTGGTAGGGGTGGGAGCAGTGGCAGGGGCAGGGGTGTTGTCCAAGGTTCTTTCCAGATTTGGATGTGCCAGTCCACTCTGGATTCTGCCCACCTCTTCCCCAGTTGGGGGTAGAAGAGAGTGGAGTTCTAAAGTGAAATTCATCCTATTGTGCTGCATGAGTAAACTGCGGTATCTAGGTCCGTGTTCACAGTGAAAACAGGCAAACGAAAGGGCTGGTTCCAGCTGGACACAGCTGGATTCTGAGATGTGGCGGAGCAGAAAATGACTTTTGGGCTCCAGTGAGTCCATCAATCAATCGCATTTATTGGCAGCCAAAGGGAGGCAGACCAATGCAACAGGCACTTAGGAGGGCCCTGGGAGTGATTAGACGTGATGCCCATCCTGGATCAACTTACAGCCTAACAGGGAAGACCCGAGTGACATACCGATTGCCCCCATCGGGTTAAAAAACCATATAAAATATGTCATAGGGTAGCTATGTATAAGTGGCACCTGGTTCATAACAACTCTCCCAGCTGGAAGTTAGTGTCTGAAATTTCTTCCCAGGGAACAAAGACCTCAACTCTGGCAATGAGAGGTCACGCTTGAGTTTGAAACACTCCAGAAGAAGGACCTTGACTGGTGAGATATTTCAGTGCTAGATTTTTTCAGTTGGAGCATGTACACATACCCAGGTGGACAGGATGGTGAAAGAGACTCAAACTAATCTTAAAGAGAATATATCAAGAAAATGGGGCATTCTGCCTGTAAAAGAGAGGGGATATGAGAGCTCATATGTATCTGAAAGGTTGTCATGGGAAGAAGGAGGCAGATTTATTTTGTAATCATGCCAGAGAGAAGAATGAGTATTGCTGGTAGAAAGCTGCAGAGAAACAGACTTTAGTTCAACATAATCTAGCAATTAGAGCTCTGTGGGTCCAGAAAGGTGGTAGACAGTGAGCTCTCCGCCATGGGAGGTGTGAAAAGACAGTCTTGGGTGGCCATGTCATAGTCACAGCTCAGAGATTTCTGCGTTTGGTGAGAAGTAACGCTAGATGCAATTTAAGGTCCCTTGTCACTGTAAGATTATATGATTCTGTGATTCAAATTCATATTAAAATGTGTATGGTTAATGGGTGCTTTCCAGAAAGTATATTGTACTAAAACCAGAGAAGAATTTATAAAAAGTGATGGAGATGTTGATGAAATTATATGTGCCCCAAACTGGAGAAATGGACTTAGAAATGGATAGTGACGGTGGGTTGTCCTTTTCAGCACTGAACTTGATATCCTAAATCGGAGAGGTAATAACACATCAGGAGCAAGAACAAACATACTGGCATCAGCAAGTGGTTATAGGTTCTGGCTCTAGCATGTAGCACGTGGCTTTGGAAAAGTTCCTTAACCTTTCTGAGTTCTGTTTTTCTCCTTAGCCAAGTGAGGACCTAATAGTGCCACATTCATAAAGATATTGTGAAGATTTGAGATAATTTATGCAAAGAATTAACACAGTGTCCAGCACAGCAAGCACTCAATCATTATAAGCTATTAAGAGTAGCATTGCACTTTCTTAATCTAAGATGCACTTCTTTTAATATATTTTGATGTTTCTGAAATCAGAACATGTCTTTTAATAGACATTCACATTGAATGTATTCTTTCTCTACCACCACCACCACCACCACACACACACACACACACACACACACACACACAC